GGACTTCAAACCTCGGGACTGCAAGCTGTACCCCCTGTCCCCGCTCAAGATGCAGGAACTTCGGAAGTTCATCGATGAGAACTTAGCCAAGGGGTACATCCGCCCATCCACCTCACCGATGGCATCTCCTTTCTTCTTCGTGGACAAGAAGGATGGTTCCATGCGGCCCGTCCAGGACTACCGCTACCTCAATTCCGGCACGATCAAGAACGTCTACCCCCTCCCCCTGATCAACGATCTCATCGACCAGTTGCAAGGGGCCAAGTACTTCACAAAGTTGGACGTCCGTGCGGGGTACAACAATGTCCGCATCAAAGACGGTGATCAGTGGAAGGCGGCCTTCAAGACCCCCCTCGGACTCTACGAGCCGACCGTAATGTTCTTCGGGTTATGCAATGCCCCGGCGACGTTCCAAGCAATGATGAATGACGGTTTCAAGGACATGATCGCAGAGGGATGGATCGTCATCTACATGGACGACATTCTGATATACTCCAAGACCCCGGACGTCCACCACCGTCGAACGCAGCGGGTCGTTCAGCGTCTCATCGAGATGGACCTGTTCCTCAAGCGCGAGAAGTGCGTGTTCGACGCTGCTGAGGTCGAGTTCCTCGGCACCATCATTCGCGAAGGATCACTCGGCATGGACCCCATCAAGCTCGACGGCATCCGCGCCTGGCCGGTACCCACCACCGTCAAACAAGTCCAGAGCTTCCTCGGATTCTGCAACTTCTACCGACGCTTCATCCGTGACTACAGCAAGATCGCTCGGCCGCTGACACAACTCACCCGGAAAGACCTACCCTTTCAATGGACGCCCGAATGTCAGGTTGCCTTCGACACACTTCGCAACCTGTTCCAGCAGAAGCCCATTCTTTGCATGGCGGACCCCTCCGCGGCCTTCCAAATTGAATGTGACGCCTCTATGTTCGCCACCGGGGCCGTCCTCCGCCAACGGAACGCCAACCAAGACTGGATGCCGGTAGCGTACCTATCTCATGCCCTCTCGCCTGCGGAGCGCAACTATCAGATCTACGACAAGGAGCTCCTCGCAGTGGTCCGCGCTTTCGAGACCTGGCAGCACTACCTTGAAGGATCCCCCCACGTCATCCAGGTCATCTCGGACCACAAGAACCTCACCTACTGGCGGTCCGCACAGAAGCTCACCCGACGCCAGGCCCGATGGAGTGCGTTCCTAGGCCAGTTTCACTTCGAAATCCACCATCATGCCGGGAAAACCTTGACCCAAGCCGACGCCCTGTCCCGCCGCCCTGACCATGTGAACGGAAAGCATGACAACGAGGACGTTGTCGTCTTAAATGACGGGGTGTTTATTCGAGCTGTCACTGATGATCTACTGCTGCGAATCAAGGACGCCACCCGGAAGGACACCAAGGTGGTACAGACCAGCGGACGGGGACGTCTAACCCTCGTCAAGCCACCTCCGTACGGCAAACCCGAGACTGG